GTTCTTGTTTCCCCAAGACACGGGTCTTACAATCCCGATGTAACCTTAAAACTCCCTTTTTTTTTTAAGTAAGCATGTCATATGTGCTTCATAACCCACTCTTGAAATTGGTTGAGAATAAGATACTTTTTCATGTAGTTTGTCATATCTTTGATGACCTTCTTTTGAACAACAATAAGTTATCTGTGTTACAATACCCAATCTGTTTTTCCTCCAATTTCTCACACTAAAACCTCTTTCATCACCATACTGTACATAAAACTTATATGCACTCTCATGAGAACTAAACTCTCTACTAAGCAAATCATCCTCAATTTTCTCTTGATTGTTCTTATTCAATTCATCTAGATCATTAGTAGGTGAAAAATGAGTAAATGGATCAAATTTGTCCTCACCTTGCAAATCAACGTTGACGTCACTGGATAACATATTGCTTAGTCTTGGACACTCTTGAATCTCCATCCACCTACAATATTGCCACTACCAATTAGAACCACTATATTGCCACTACCAATTAGAACCACTAGATCATATTTAGAACTTGGTTTAGACATTTCTTCAAACAGGTTGGCTCCCAAATTAAAAGCCTGGTTAGCTTACAAGGAGAAAAGAGAAGATTCTATTACAAATCAAATAGATGTTTTTATATATTTATCAACGTAAGTTCATTACAGGTATACTACTTTGATAAACCATATAAACATAAGAAACCCACTCATCGGAACTGGTCAAGAAAAACAACCGCCAAATATGAAGAATCTGCCATGTATAGGAATTATGAAAACTAAAATTCCAAAATTAAGAAAGGGAAACAATGTTGTTGGACTAACCATCTTAGAAGAATTAATCAAATAGTGAGAGAAGTTCGCCTGAAATTTACGTTGTCAATGATCGGAGATTTACATGGTCGATGGTCGAAGGTTTACGCTGCTGGTTATCAGAGTTATGTTGTCACATCCCAGATCGCTTTGCCGTAGCACGATTGAGGCCCTTAACAACCATCAACAACAGGTTAGCTTTCGACAACCTAACTTGTCAATCTGGCTAAAGAAGGTACCTGCTAAACAAGGCAGGACACGGACATGTGGTAGCTTCTTAAGCAATGCCCACAGTCCCACATAGAAACTATAACCCAAAGTCCCTCACCTTGAAGCTCTATAAATAAGGCACAAGTCCCAAGAAGAAAGGTAACCGTAACATTCCACTACTTAGCCCTTACTTTGTCCAAATTACTATTCACTTAGTCCTTAAACGAACTTAAGCATTGGAAAGCCTTCGGCCGGTACCACACTGGTATCCAAAGTCTTACCAATGCTCTTTGTCTTGCAGATCCACGTTTGTCAAAGAGCCCACAAGACTGAAGACATCCTACTTCTAGGTTGGGTCCATAAATGTTCATCAATTTTTGGGCATCAATAACATTAGTTTCCAACATCTTTCTCTCATTGTCAGATAAATATAGAATCCTCAAACCAATTAGGAAGCTTGTGAACAAAATCCAAGTTCAAGCTGATAGGATGAAAGATTTCTTCAAACACTACTACAAAAAACGAAATAGACGACGGGGATCCACCGTCGTTGTAATGCTTTGAAATCCGTCGTTAAATCGACCGCCGTCTATTTGGGTGTCAAACTACGACGGCTTTTCACCGTCGTTGTTTATCTGTAAAGACGACGGTTTTTAAAGAAAATCGTTGTTGTTTAAAGGTAAAGATCGTTAATTATAGGATGAAAGACGACGGTTTTTAAAACCATCGTGTATTGTATGTAAAGCTGACAGTTTTTTATGAAAACTGTCATCTTTACATACAATAGACGACCATTTTAAAAAAAAAACAGTCATCTTTACTTCACAATAGATGACCCTTTTTTAAAAAAACCGTCATCTTTACATATAATAGATGGCCCTTTTTTTAAAAAACCGTCATCTTTACATATAATAGACGACCCTTTTTTTAAAAAAAAACGTCATCTTTACCTATAATAGACGACCTTTTTTATAAAAACCGTCGTTAATTATCTGTAAAGATCATGATTTATTATAAAAACCGTCGTCTAATAAGTTCCCAAATTGCTACATTTTAGTTCTTTTTGATTTCCTATGATGCTATACAACGATTTTAACTAGAAAACCAACCATAATGCTTTATTAATGAATATATACACTCAAAAATAGTTTCTTTCATAAAACTTGAAGATTCAATAGTTATTACATAGTTAACCAATCTTTATTCTACAACAAACATAATTCCTAACAAGACCTACGTACTCCTAATCCAAGCCTTCCTCATCCAAACATACAAATGATGCACAACTGAAGTCTCCTCCATCATCCCTGTAAATAAATCAAAATGACAAAGAGAGAAAAAAAAAAGCTAAGATTATAAACATAAAAAATTAGGTGGAAGAGAAATTTTACCATTGGACCATATTTCCATAGAAAACTTGTAAAATGAGCATAAAAAAGACCATCGAGAACCTGCAAAAGAAAAAATATATAAATAAAATGATAGTGAAACGAGAAGGTAACAAATTTTCAACAACAAAAAAACATACGACTCACATAGAAAACCTGCAAAAGAAAAAGTTATAAATCTGCAAGCTTCCTCCTCATCTCATGATAATAAAATCAGAAAATCTAAAAAGAAACCAGAAATATAAAAAATATATATGTAAACAAACCAGACAAATCAAGAGAGACAGAAAATTTGAAATCAGGGAGACAAAGAACATACTAGAAACGCAAAGAGACTAATCCAGAATTCACTAGCAAGATATAGAAGGGTATTGAGAGATTAGGTGACTTTCAAATCAAACCTTTCAACCAGCTTTGATTCTCAAATACAGAACTTCCCTCTACATCTTATGGGTCTGCGAAAATCTCTCAACTCTTTCATTGATATCGATTTTTTGATGATTTTGTAGAGAGTCTCATGAGGGTGTTTTAGAGAGTGCAGGAGGGTTTCAAGGGGGGAGAGATAAGGTTTTCAGAGATGGGGGAAAATCTGAAAATTTGTCGAGCGCGAATTCACTTAAGTAGCCTTTTTTTAGCGTGTTTTAAAAGACAACGGTTGTTAATGAGAGATAAGGTTTTTAAAGACGGGTGAAAATTTGAAAATTTGTCGAGCGCGAATTTACTTAAGCGGCCATTTTTTAGCGTGTTTTAAAAGACGACGCTTTTAAAAAAAAACCGTCATCTTTACATATAATAGACGACCATTTTTTAAAAAAAAACCGTCGTCTTTACATATAATAGACGA